TTATTTCACCACAGTTCTACCCATTCAATATTCACACTTATTACATATAGCGGCATGATGAACTCAACAAAAATGACCACTCGCAGATAGGATTGGCTTCATAGCTCACTTGGTAGAGCATCGCACCGGCATCGCGGAGGTCATGGGTTCGATTCCCGTTGAAGCTTGAAATCATTTTTTCAAGTCTTTCTTTACAGCGTTCGCTTAGATTCACTATGATGATCAACACCTCTATCATTATTTCACCACAGTTCTACCCATTCAATATTCAGTTACATATCTCGTCATGGTAGCCCTGTGGTGAGATAAACTTCCCTTCCCTTGACCCTTTGCGTACCGCCGATATATATATATATTTCACGTGCACAGACGACACAGACGTCTGGTTGTAATAGACACGACATATAAATACCTCGAAAATCTTGCGAACAATGAGTGGAAATATTGAGCCTGTTGAAAAGCCGAAGATCAAATACACGCAGGTAAACATTAGTTGGTTTTCATTTTAGGATCGCGTCAAAAATAGCAAACTTTACTGCTATGAACAGGTCATGTTTTGTATACCAGTCACGGTCAAAGTAAGATAAGTCAGCACTTTGATGTTTACCTGGGTTGTGCAACAGTAGAGTTTATTATCTAGCTTATGATAGAATGCCAACCATATGTCTGTGAAAAACTAAATAGCACTAAACACATCTTTTGTTTTCAATTGTTTCATTGCTGCTATCTTGTACTAATTAGTTAGTACTATTTGACGAATGTATGGTTTGCACTCTAATGGCTGTCTCACTTCACCCTAACCCCCACCCCCCCTCCCCAGAATTCTCATGGTACAGCCACATGACTCAAAAATCCCTCAAGATATAAATAACAATAAAAGAGCTGCCATGTTGATTGATTCAATGAGAGAAGCTAATGAGGAATGCTTTGGGTTATGGCTAATTGGGATACTCTTAGTTCGGGAGGCAGAGGGGAACTAATTTTGAATTGGCCAAGCAACGTTTCCACCAAGACCTAAAGATGTGTTGGGAATTCAATATGGCAGCTTAAGTGATTTTTAAACCATTTCAAAACAGTGATAACCCCCAAGAGTACCCCCCCCCCCTCCCCCCGGGATTAGCTGTCATTATTTTGAAAAGTATCGCTATGAGCTCAAACTTGATTTAAGATGTATTTGTTAAAAAGTGTAATGTTTTAGAAGGTCATTCTCATACAGATAGAGTACTGGCAATTATTAATAATTGGCTCCTTGCAGTACACTTGTACCAGCGTTATACTTACAATGTATGTCACACTGAGCTATAGAATCTTGCCCTGTAATCAATGAACAGCAGACTTTGACTAATGATATCAAGTACCGAAACTAAAGTGACAACTAAGAATAAATCATTCTGAATAATTAAATTATGCAATCATTGCATTGTTTTACAGTTGTTTATTAACAATGAGTTTGTGGACAGTGCAAGTGGTAAAAAATTCCCCACCATCAATCCATCTACTGAAGAGAAGATATGTAGCATCTCTGAGGGGGAGAAGGTACGTTCAGTTAAAACAGGGACATAGGATTTACTATGGGGAGAGGGGAGAGGTCACTTTACTAACTTCAACAATTCAACTTCAATGAGTGAGAAAGGAGGAGGATACCATAGGCTATTAAATCTATATTCCATGTATTTTACTCAGATGCATACAATAATATTTTATGCAATATAATTGTGTCATAGGAAGATGTAAACAAAGCTGTTCATGCTGCAAGAAATGCATTCAAGTTAGGAAGTCTGTGGAGAACTATGGATGCATCTCAGAGAGGAAAGCTTCTATACAAACTGGCTGAACTGATTGAAAGGGACATTGCATATCTGTCTGTAAGTAATATACAGGACTTGCCTTTAAGTGTAAACTGATTGGTCTAAGTAGCCAGTTCTTAGAACTGGACCAATAAGCCCCAAACTGTTCGTAAGAATTGACGTATACCATTTAAGAACTAGCTGCTTGAACTGATTGGCTCTACTTATGGCAAAGCACCATCAAGTCATTCTATTAGTATTTCAATTGTTTTTTTTATGATTTTCTTGTAGACACTGGAGACTCTAGACAGCGGCAAACTGTTTTTAGATTCAGTAGATGATATGAAGCTATGTGTTGATACCTTCAAGTACTACGCAGGATGGGCTGATAAAATACAAGGGAAAACAATACCAGCTGGTGTGTTAAATAATCAATTGTAAAAACATTGGGTTCAAACAGAACATAAAAGTGATATGGAAATGTATCTAGTGATACAACTTGTGGAATGCTTATAGATTGTTGCACTGACATAATGGAGGCTTTTATCACATCTCACATGAAAATATCTGAGGATAAAATTGTTAATTCTACAGCATATGTCACACTTGTTTCAATTTAAAATCTTATTCTCGTTTATCCATATTTTCTTCCAGATGGTTCATACTTTGTTTACACACGTCTGGAGCCAGTGGGTGTGGTGGGTGCTATTACACCCTGGAACTTTCCTCTTGGCATGGTCGCATGTAAAATTGCTCCAGCCTTGACATGTGGTAACACTATTGTCCTAAAGCCTGCCGAGCAGACCCCCCTGACTGCCCTATACTTAGCTTCATTATTCAAAGAGGTAAATTTTCTTCCCTTTTAGATGTTATTCCCATTGTCCCCCCATGTCTGTCCATGTGAGCCCTCTTACTGCCTCATCTCCCCCATGTCTGTCCATGTGAGCCCTCTCATTGCCTTATCTCCCCAATGTCTGTCCATGTAAGCCCTCTCACTGCTAGATATCACTAGGGTTTTCTTCAGTTCTTCAATTTCAAAAAGATATGTAAAATACAGAATTGCTATAAAATCAAAACAGTCCATTTGTGACATTTGAATTCTTGTGATACAGTATAAATGTAATAATAATAAATAATAATAATGGGATTAATAGTGTATTCCACAGAGTGGCTACTGGATTCCAATTCCAACTTAGAAGTTGAKTTTTGGGAAGGGAGGAAAGCCGGAGAACCCAGAAAACCCTTGAAGCACAGGAGAGAACCAACAATCAACTCAACTCACATACAACATCAAACTTGTCTCGACTCGAACCCTGGTTGCACATTTGTGAGAGGCAAGCACTCTCACCACTACATCACCCATGCTTCCTTATTCTAGCCATAAAAGAGTTGCTAATTCATATTAATCCACTTCAGGCTGGTTTTCCACCTGGTGTTGTCAATGTCATTCCTGGATATGGTCCGACAGCTGGAGCAGCTATATCACATCACATGGATGTTGATAAAATATCATTTACAGGATCAACTGAGGTACAGTACTTCCTTCCTAATTGCTCTATTTCATCAGTATGCCACATGATAACGATCTTTTGCTTTGATGCAAAGAAACATGGTCATGTGATGAAGACAAAACAGCAACTGAAAGATAATTGTGAAATATTGTATTGTATACAGTATTTACATTTTGTGTCGCGATTTTATGTTCATATGATGTGAGAATGTTAAAACAAAGAGAGAAAAATCATAAAAAATGTTTTACCATTATTGTATTATAGGTTGGCAAACTGATCCAATCAGCTTCTGGTCAATCGAACCTGAAACGTGTGACCCTTGAGCTTGGTGGCAAGAGCCCTAACATTGTATTTGGTGACACTGACTTGGATTACGCTGTAGAAATGTCACATGTTGCATTGTTTTTTAACAGTGGACAGTGTTGCAGTTCAGGTTCTCGTACTTTTGTTCAAGATACTATATATGAAGAATTCGTAAAGAAAAGTGTTCTGAGGGCCCAAAACAGATCTGTGGGAAATCCCTTTGATGTCATGGTGGAACAAGGTCCACAGGTGTGTTGTTAGTGATTTCTTAAGCTAGCAGAGATGCTTGGTAGACTTATGATAGTAATCTGACAGGGTAGTAGAGTGCAAACAATTAATCCGTGAAACACTAATTACTAAATAGTACAAAATAGTGCTAATTAAACAATAGAAAACAATAGAATTTGCATGAAATTGTGTTATTTAGTATTACTAAAGTTTCACGGTTATATTGTTTGCACTCTAGTGTATTGCACCAATGATTAAATCTGCTACATTTAGATGTGAGCCCATCTCCTGATCTGCTCCCCTTTGTGCTAATCCATTGTTCATTCACTAATGAATTATTTGGTCATTCCAGATTGACCAGGAACAGTTTGACAAGATTATGGATCTGATAGAGAGTGGAATGAAGGATGGTGCAAACTTGGAGTGTGGAGGGAAGCGTCATGGTGACAAAGGGTTCTTCATCCAACCAACAGTCTTCTCTAATGTTACTGATAACATGAGGATTGCCAAAGAAGAGGCAAGTTCCTTTTCATATTATTATTAAGCAATTATTGGATGAGGTTGAGCATGATATCGTAAATTATCAAGACCGAGCTGAGGTCTCGATAATTTACAATATTATGTGATAAGCGAATTCAATAATTGCTTTATTATACATTTTGTATACTGGAAAAACATTACCATGAACATTAAACTATAGAGACAAGAATTATGAACACCATGATGTAGGATAAAAAACGCAAAATTTTTAATTCAGAATTGAAATATTTCACGAATTATTCATAAAATATATAAAAATAAGTTAAGGATTCCTTAAATTATTGTTTTTGTACATAATTCTGGGAATAAATAACCATAATGAATAAAAACAAAGCTACCACAGCATGACCTTCAATGAACTTGACATGATAAATGTATTATCTGTAAGAAAACCTACAGATAATACATTTATCATGTCGAGTTCACACGATATCAGGGATTGACTGAGGGCTCTCGACCAATCAGAATTGAGATACTTAGTAAAATGTGTAATAATAATAATTATTACCAACCTTTAGTTGTGCTTGCGGCAGAGTAGAGACCTTTTCCGTTTTCCCATTTCATTTAGCCTTTCTTTCAAATATAGTAATATTTGGTATGTCAGTTCATTTGTTAGATACCACAAGTATTTCAGTAACTCTAAATGTTTTTGTTGCAGATCTTTGGTCCAGTACAACAGATAATCAAGTTCAAAGATATTAATGAGGTCATCGAAAGAGCCAACAACACAGCCTATGGGTTGGCTGCGGCTGTCTTTACTAAAGACATTGACAAAGCTATGACAATAACAAGCAGTTTGAGGGCTGGTACTGTGTGGTAAGTAATGAAAGTGTCAATCAAAAAGTACTAACTCAAACCACTGGAAATTTGGTCGACAGAAATCAAAAGCCTTGAATTATGATTAGTTGTATGGGTCACATAATTATAAAATGTATACATTATTAACCTGTCTACTATATCTCTTTATTAATGATTAATGACAGGGTTAATTGCTATGAAAGTGGAGCACCACAAGCGCCATTTGGTGGATTCAAGATGTCTGGCTTTGGAAGAGAATAGTATGTACCCTCTATCTTTTCTCATCATTACATGTATTTTGTCCTACATGTAGATGACATTTCATATTCAATGCAGATAACCTAATCCCCCTCCATGGGGGAGGTATGGATTTTTTTGAAATAAAATTTGATTGACAGGGCTTGAAATAACAGCAGGTATCAAACCAAGTCAGGTCAGAGTTGGAACTCAGCATCTGGTCAAATCTTTGTCTTACTGGTTATTTTGAACAGTAACATTAATTGAGGTATGACTGAAGTATAACTATTTTGGTTGGTAATCACGACCAGTGATTGACCAGTAGTTATTGTCAAGCCCTCATTAACTTTTTTGATATAGATTATTGCATCAGAAAACAGGACAAATGCAACAGCCATTAATTCAAGTTTTATTTATCCTCTTTCTATAGTGGTGAAGATGCACTTTTGCCCTACTGTGAGTCCAAAACAGTAAGTATATTGGTTGGGATATAAAATCCATTTTCCATGGGAAAATTCCAGTTTGTCAAGGAATGAAGAGTATGTGATATACCAGTCAGCCCAACAGCCCAACAATCCAACAGTCCAACAATCCAACAGCCCAACAAACCCAACAGACATTATTGCATATTTCAAAACCGAAAGTATTGTTAGTTGTTGGGCTGTTGGGCTGTTATGCTATTGGGCTATTGGGCTATTGGGCTGTTATGCTATAGGACTTTTGCATGATGGCGTCATTTGACTCTCATTACCAAGATCCTTCGCGAATTTTCTTTCTTATTTAAATTTGTATTTCCTAATGAGAATGGTAAGACAATTGGTGCTAATTAACTGAACAAAAGAAAG